TATATACACACACACACACACACACACATATATATATATATTAATATATATATTGACTGTAATATATATACATATATATATATATATATATATATATATGTATATATATATATTTAAAAAATATATATATTGACTGTATTATATTGACTGTAATATATATTGAAATATATATATATTGACAGTAATATATTGACTGTAAGATATATGAGTATATATATATGTATATTTATGCTCTATGCTCATTGTATAAACCCTTGAGGTCAGATATGTGAATTAATATAGACATGGAATAGCATTGTATTCGTGTAACTTAAGTTCTACAGTATCCCGTGCTGCACGAGCCCGCCTGACGAAGGTGATTATCACATGCTGGACATACCAATTATGACTGACGTGTTGCTGTCATCTCCACTGGCCTGGCTCGCTGAGTTCTCATCTGCTTCGCCAACTGCACCAATCCCACTACTCAGAGCTTTCTGATTTGATCTCCCCGTTGTAACAGCAGCGGAGTCAGAGTTGGAAGTGGGGGCTGTAGTGCTTTCGCCCGTATTGGTCGTCCAGTATCTGCTCAGAACATCAGAGTTATTGCACAATTAGACGCTACACACAGATGGACTCTCAAGGAACAGGTTAACAGCTTACTGTGAGCATATATCGGCGAGAGTGGCCTACACGCACAGACCGCTTATATGGCACAGGTCTCCCACTATCGCTTTCATCGTGCTATGCACATTAACTTGTGCTCAAGTTATTTTTAATACTAGTCCTTCCTTTAACATACCCGTCACTGTTCCAGCTCTTCGCATTCCCGCCTTTCCAGTCGTTAGAGTTGTATGGCTGCCCGGGTAAACTATCATTCTCTGAGTCCGTATCGGTGCTACTGAGAGTGAGTGAAAGAATCAGTTAGAACGAATCATTAAGTATGCGTTTACACACGCACTTATAAACATTCGGCAGACACTTGAAAGAGCGAAACACTTCCGAACCTATGAAAAACTAAGAATCATCTACACACAAGACGGCCCCTACTCATGTACGAAATATCTGCGAACACATACCCCCCGTCAGCATAGCTTCCACTACCGCTTCCATTCTCACCAGGGAATTCATCATCGTCTTCACCAGGGAATTCACTGTCATATTCACCAGGTGAACCACCGTCTTCTTCTCCTGGGAATTCACTGTCTTCTCCTTCTCCTGGGAAACCACTGTTTTCGTCCCCATGGACATCACTGTCGTCGTGCCCTGAGACATCACCGACGTCGTGTCCTGGGACATCACTGTCGTCATCGCCTGAATCCCCGTCGTCGTGCCCTGGGACATCATTGTCGTCGTCGCCTGAATCCCCGTCGTCGTGTCCTGGGACATCACTGTCGTCGTCGCCTGAATCACCGTCGTCGTGTCCTGGGACATCACTGTCGTTGTCGCCCGAATCACCGTCGTCGTGCCCTGGGACATCATTGTCGTCGTCCTCTGAATCACCGTCGTCGTGCCCTGGGACATCATTGTC